CATCCACCCTTCTTATCATCAACCAGTCGGCTCTGCGGGGAAAACTCGACACGAGCCGGAGTAGCCGTGTCGTGAAGCCCTGCGTTTGCCACACCGCTGCGCAGACCGGACTGTTCCCGCTGCCCAACACCGCGCTCCGTCGCCATGCCTCCGTTGCCGAAGCTGCCTTGCACCATTCTCGGCGCTTCGCGGTCCTCCAATTGATTCGGAGACTGCGACGGCGCCGGCGTGGAGCAGCGGCTGCGGTTCCCGTCACTGCTACCGCCCACGTCGTCTGTAAAGAGCAAGGCGTTGCCAGCGTCCTCCGCGCCGACAGAACTGCGTTCCTTGGAGTTGCTGCGCACCTGAAACACAATTGAAGACTCTGCGGAGTACATTGCTGGCAAACCAAAGACCCTCCCCCCCCTCCACTTGCCCTGCCGCAGACAAATGCGTCCCCGTGTATCCTTTTTTTCACTCCACTGCACCCCCACGAGCCATGCACCCAGAGGGGAGAAAAAAGGGAGAAAGAAAGCAGGGAGCATCCATACACGCACGGCCAGCAACCGAAAGGAAAAACTTCCTCCCGCACCTCCCTGATCCCATTCCACGCACGGTACGCATACACAAAAAAGGTACAGAAACAAAAAAAAAAAAACGGAGAACTGCCTATCGCCAGTACTCGTGCGTCCCGACGCGCCGCCGTCGCCACCACCACCACCACCACCTCTTCTCTTTTGTCCGCTTCGACCGCCCTCATCGCTGTTTTCCTGTGGCTTCATTGCCCCAACGGTGCCATCACCACGTGTTATCCCTCCCCGTCCCACAGTCTCGCCACAGCAACCGGATGCGGTTGTTTGTCCCCCTCACTTTTTCTTCGCTTTTTTTTTCCTCGCTAAAGCGTGTCACCTTAGAACTTTCCCCACCGAATCAAGTGCCGCGTTTCAAAGCGTGGGCTGCGCACAGAGTGAAACCCATCCTTCGCGCCGTATCCAACGCACATAATTACTGGCACAGTGAAACGTGGCGGTAGCCCTACAACCTGCTTCACTTGCGCCTCATCAAATCCTTCAAGAATGCCCGTGTCAAACCCCGCCGCAGTGGCAAGATACAGAAATGTCGTCACCGGTATCATCGCCTGCTTCCACGCGTACCCCTGCTTGCTTGTCGGAACGGACAGCAGCGGGTGGCCTGTGGCTTTGCTATACCACGCAGACAGGAAAGACTTAATGTGACTGATGGATTCTACTGGGCCACCGTGGAGTAGATAGTACGTGTTGCGCAGATAGTTTGCACCATACATTGGGTCCAAGTAGCCACTCTCAAGACCATGCTCCAGTGCCGCCGGGGCATTGCGCTCCGGTTCCATGTCACCGGCAAACACAATTGTCACCGGTGCGTCGCGGGGTTGCGGTTGACTCAGCGCCGCACGCGAGAGTGCCGCTCGCTGCTCCTCCTCGCACACCACAACAGCCACCCACGGCTGCAGGTTCAGAGATGTGGGAGCCCGCACCGTCACGGCGAGAATATCGTTCAGCACGTCAAGGTCAACTGGACGTGTTGGGTCAAAGCGCCTGCAAGTGCGACGGTCGCGCACAACGCCTTTCACCGCATCCAGCGGTGACGAGGATGAAAGCAGAGAGGGAAAAAAGGTGGAGGTGGGCACGTTCCCATGCCCCAACCCCGCCTCACCAAGGCCCCCATTCTTTCCGCCGCGGACGGCCGCCGCAGCCCCCGTTGCCGATGCGGCCGCAGCAACGTTTGACTGCTTCCAGCGCCAGTACGACTGCACAGAGTCCCACAGGCTTCTCTGCACGCCATTTCTCTTCATGGCAACGTGCCCCTATCCTTCCTCTCCTTCTTGTTTCTCGTATTCTCCTTCGCTTCTCCTCCCTTTTCTCCGCACGGTGCCGCAACTCAACGCAAATGAAACGTGTGCACTCTGTGGGTACGTGCGTACGCGCACCGCTTCCCCAGCGTCCTCGTCGTCCTGTGACCCCCCTGTCAAGGTACAAATGCACCACCGCCCACGGCGCGTTCCCGCCTCTTCTTCTTCTTTCCTCCTCTGGGCAATGCAGCGAAGGAGCGGCGGCGAACACGCGTGGCAAAAAGCAAGCAAGAAAGAAAGAGAAAAAAAACAAAACGTGTGCCAGTGTGCTGCCACAAGTGAGGGGCAAGACACAAAGCAAGAAACACACCAAAAACAAACAAATAACACCTGGAGATATAAGTGACTCAAAGCAGCGAGACACACACAAATAAAAAAAAAAAGAGAGACAATAATACACACACGAACGAAGGAATAGACCTTGGGCGATCGCTACAAACGCCAAAAAGGGGCAAATTCATCCATAGGACGATCCTACGGCCACGGCACATTGCTTTATGAGTGGCACCTCCATATATATATATATATATATATATGCATACAATGCTCTTTTCCCTTTCCTCTTCCGCCCCGCCGTTGGTCCCCGCCGTACATTCGCATCACAAAACAACACATATGTGCCTAACTACAGCAACTAATAAATAATAAACAGGTGAAATTTACATCGCATGAAGTACGGTGCTTCCAACCCCCTCAAGAAGCATCGGTGACAGTTTCGACAATGTTTGCTTGAAGTGGGTGTGGACTCGCAAAGAAAAATACGGAACTCCTGTCAGGCTTTGGATTACCGTAGAAGCCAATGGATTCACAACGGTGACCCGTTTCCTTGCAACCGTCGTAGGAAATATTTTTCTCACGAACATCTTCTGACACCTGTTTAATAACGCGCCGCAGCACCCGCCGAGAGCTACCTTGCGTCATTTTGCTGCCACCCAGCAACTTGCCCTCGGTGTCCATGTCACCCAAATCCCCTCCGATGGGTTCATGCTTACAGTGGTAGTGCAATACACCCGCGTAGGACGCTGCCGTATCGCGTGGATCGCACCAACATGCACGCAGTCGGCATGGCGGGCCAGTAATTCTGTGCCAAAACGTTTTGGTGCCTGAGCCATGAGTCTCTGGAAGAAGTACTAGTCGGTCAAACCCATTGGTTAATTCTCTCCCCATCACTAGGCCGCCTTTTAACCTCGACGCAGGCGACACACCGGTGGTGGTGGAGGTCTTTCCATGCTGCTTCGATGAGGGTGGCATGAGCAATTGGACTTGGCGCTCCCCATCCAAGAAACACACCCTCGGCCTCGTCCCTTTGGAGAATGCCGTGCGCGACTGGAAGGAGACCAATGTACTGTTGTCCCTCGTACGTGTCCCACCCGTTTCCTCGTCTCCGTCAGCGGGTGCCTGGAGCTTTACTTGCTCCATGCCAGTACACACCCCCTCCCCATCCGCAGTGGATAATTGAAGGTCTGCTATCGAACATGCGGCGTCCTCACAGCAGCGGGCGGCGGCGGCGGCGGCGGCTGCAGCGGCAGCGGCAGCGGCTTCTGCAGCCTCTGCTGCAGCAGCTGCCATTTCTCTATCCGTCCGTAGC